CAGTTGTTCCGCATTGTTTGCATTTAGGTTCCTGATTACAGATTCTTGCGTCGTGGAATCCCCAACACTTGGGGCACTGGGAAGGTCTAGGTGATTTTGTAATTTTCCGGGCGATAGAGCTTGTGCAGAAAATTCTAAAAGGACGAATGGATTGCTTAAATGAGGCCACAATTGTGCCGGTTGGGGCTAGGTTTTCGTTGGACTTTCTCGACCATGCTATCTTGACTGGCGTAAACCCTGTGACTGATTGGACTTCTTCCCGAGCATAGTCTTCTGTTACGTTCCATCTGGTGCCGTCCAGAGAATGGAGTTTCCGTGGTACGTGGTCAATGATGTATGTATGCCATTGCTCTGCTTTCTCAACTATTCCTCCGAGAGTAGCCGTAATTTCTTGTGACTTGGTCAAAATCTGTTCCGCTTGTTTCTCATTTGTAGGCACGAGAGCGATGCCCGACTTAACTTTTTGAACTGTTTTTAGAGAGTCGTGCTCCAGTTCTAGATTCTTAGTTAACGCTGCCTTGACGGCGTGAACATGATGAGCACGGCTGGGATGATCCTGGGGGAGCCGGATAAAGATTCTGTTGTCAGTCTTTCGGATCTGGTCTGTTCGAGGTGTAGTTGGTAGAATTGGTTTTTCCGGGAGATTTAAGCTCGCGTTACTGACCGTCTGACTTCTTGTTACCTGAGCATAGGTGGGCGCATGTCCATTTTGCAACTGTCCTGGGGTAAGTTGTGACTGCGAGGTCCTTTGTTGTTGTTGGTTGACGTGACTGAAATTAGTCTCTCCCCTTGCAAATTGCTGCAGAATCCGAGCAATCGCTGATGTGAGATTGTCAGTGAGATAATCCAAGCCCATTTCGCGTAGGCGCCCGGTTGCATCGTCCAGTGCTTTGGAATATTCCCTAGCAATACCTTCTCGTTTGAAAAATAACTTTCGGACTTCGTCAAGTGCTTCGTCGGTAGCTTGGGCGAGTGAATTGACTGGGGGGTTTGAAGTCTGGGGTGGCGTTTCCGTGGTAGGGGCTGAAGAGTCAGTGACTGCCACGGGCTGAGGGTCCTTGGCACCAGCAGGAAGGTCGTTTCGAGGCTTTCGTTTTGGCGGGTTTAAATTCGGATACAGTGAGGGGGGAGGTGACGCACGCGTGGGCGGCACTGGTGGCGACATGTCAACGTCCCCGTCGACAGACGCCATAGCTCTAAGAGAGCTATTCCAAGAGCGTTTTGATAGAGGGTTAATGAGCAGAAAATGAGACGAGAAAATGAAGATGCGACTTCAGACCTAGGCCCATTCGCGAATCGTATTGTCAAGGAAATAAGGCGTTCAGGCAAAGCAGTCACATGATATATGGACCTGTGTAAATGCACACTAACGCGTCCGTAAATAATTATTAGTTTCATAGTACTAGATTCTTTCCTCTTTGTAGACGATCTAATTCACCAGACCAGATATCGTCGGTCACCATCCACCTCACTCCCTACTGTGATACGTATGTTGGTGGTGATGAGTCTTTGTTCGACTTTCTTGCGGTTGTGAAGTCTCTGCCGACCGGTTTTTCGACCAAAATATCGAGTGCAACTCCTTCAAGTCGAAAATCCATCAAATAAAATTCATGCCACCCTTTTTCGTGACTGAATCTCGGCTCATGGTAAATATTTCACTCCCAGGCTCGTAGAGGACACCACTGATAGGTGTTCAACCTTCGTCCTCCGGTGTTTAGTGTGTAATGCATGTGTGGGTATTATGAACCAAACTAGAACTCGAAAGAATAGAGATAATGGAATCAGCGAGAGACTGATGGACTGAAGGAGAACGAGCTGGCCATTTCTCGTAGGAGAGAAATGATATCACAAGGGAATGTTCTAGCACTAGGCTGTGAACAACAATGTAAGTCTTGAGCAAGATATAAGGAGGTCTCAAACTCCGTCCATTCATTGAAACTAAGTTTCCTATGTGCGAGAATATAGAGTCAAGTCTTACATATCACGAGAACACACGCGACAGCGATTATAGAGGCCTACTGTGAGCATAACTTCCCCAAGAGTATCCATCGTCCCGCTCCTATATAGCCTAGTTAATATAACAAATGGGGTTCCATTAACTCCCAAAAATATTGCGAGAAGATAGTTCCTCTTATCGATGGCATGGTCTTGATGAGACCCTGACTTTCCGTAATGCAGGATAATGCTCATGCCCACACAGCCGCAACTACAATGGAAGATATGAGCCAGAGGCTCATTCAACCGATTTTCTGGCCGGCCAACTCGCCTCATCTTAACTCGATTGAAGCTGTTTGGAATAGGATGAAGGATTATAACCAGCGTCATCATCCGAATCTTGGTTGTGGAAAGCAGCAAACTCAAGATACTCTTCGCAAGATTGTAAAGGAGGCCTGGGATTCCGTGTCTTCCGAAGATCTTGTGAGACTCATTCAGAGTATACCAGCAAGATGTCAGGCTATCATAGATGCGGATGGGGGACCAACCAGATATTAAGGGCTGAAAATACTCAAGCCAAAATTTCAGATCTAAGGTTAGGATAAGACTGTGGCTCTACTTTGTGATTCGAAAACCTGTAAACTCTTGTAAATAAGTTATAAAGTCAAGTAGCAAAAATGCACAAATGTTATGCAGCCGATCATTATACAAATTGTGTTTAGTACGAAGGAAAGACCCACTGCAAACTATGGTGTTCAGATAAAAACTGCCATACAAGATTTTTTAAAAATTTGCACAAATACGGGGGCTGACTCCAATATGGAAGGTGACTATGCCTAAGGAGGGTTATTTTAAACGCTATAAACCCTGCCAAAGCCCCATTACAAACTTGACGCCGTGACACCACGGTACATAGATCTACATCTACAGGGATCATAACTTTCGATCCATGGAGATTGATAAATACTGGTCAAAAACCACAGTTGATAAGATATGCGAACACGCAATCTCACTCTTATCATCTCGGTTTTACTCTGAACCATACATCCAAATACAATTGTTTCCTCTCGGATCTTCCTCTCACAACCTCATGCAAGACTTACTGTATCGGTCTAACCGCCGACACTGATTCCGCTACAACCTCCATCTTCGCTCAAGCTCATAATTTTAACAGAAACTCCCTAGCACCAAGGTCTCGGGTGGTATCAGCAAATGCACTCACTACACGAGTAGTCCAAACGTAAAACTGAGTTATTGTCGTGTAAAGTCGTCAGGGAAGGACTCGCCTTCTCCGTATCAAGCACTTTGAGTGCAGGGCTTGTGCCCGTCACGAATAAAATTTCATTAATTCATTAATCCACTTCTGCACATGAATGAAGAGGCAAGGTAAGTTTAGTGTATTACTTGAGTCTATGAATATCTAGCGCATTGGGCTCCTTTCTGGCCCAGGCTACACCTCGTACAGTGCTCCTATCCTCTTTTGTAACTTCAAACATGATTGAAAAATTACCCGTGATGAATAGCCATCCAGCTCAGTGTTTACCCGTGGAATTCGGCCGCCTTTTCTACGGAACCTTCTACCCAAAAAAAAATGGTAGCAATGGAAACTGCGTGCGCAGGAAAAAGTCTCAAAAAACCTGCAGCCCCAGCTAGGCGAGGCCTAGACACCGGGACCACATGAGGTGCGCATACTCATCTATATCTCCCTTCTTTGTAATATTCGAGGCCGACTTGATCCAATTAACCATTTCCGTATCGGGTGCTGCGTACGCTTTGGATACTCATTGGTTGGCTTTTCCTCCACGATAATGGTGATAGGGGGATGTGTTGAGGGATGAAGACGATATAGACAGCGGAAACGATTGGGAATCCTCATCGAAGTAAGGAAAATTAATGAAGATATCTCGCCACAAACTTTCTTGGCTGTTCCAGCGCAAGTGTACATCCCCAAATCATATACCAATCATAATAGGCAATCCTGATTTAGGACGCAGAACTCCTTTGGCTCCGCCGTCCTCAAGGCAGCTTGTCGCTGGGAGACCGGCTGTACGAACACCTCTTTGTCATTGCTCCTCAGCTGCCTTACGACGTATTCTCCTTGTCGTTGTGCCTTTTCGAAGAAATTTGTAAAACGCAACCAGTTATTGAATGCATTGACTCCCTCCGCCGAAACAAGAGCCCAAGATACGCTGGGATAACAACTCTATGCCCTGTGGAGCTGAGCTTGATATTGCCACTTCGGGCAATAGAAAAAGTGATTGGGGGACTTCTCTTTTCCGCTTGTGCAGGTTAGAATGGCGTTTTCGTGCTGAATAAGGTTAGATTAGATTTACACAATAGTCCCTGATGATTCAGAAATCACGGGGGAGCTGTGAGAATCTACCTCAACATTCTAGTTAGATTTAAGAAATTTGTAATATAAACATGCAAAACTTTGTTGTCACAGATATTGTGGGTCAAGCTCATCCAACGCCTTAAGTACAACCCAACGATGGAAGGTGCCATGGTCCGCCTCCTGGTGGTGTTCTCCGGTATAGTTCGAGTAGCCTGGGCACCTACTCCACTTGGAAAGGTGATGCCCATGACCACATTTTGCGCGGGAAAAATTCAGTGGATGATGGAGGCATGTCTGGATAACTCAAGGGTTTTGAGACGTTCCTCTGGGTGGGTATTCACGGATGAGGCCTGACTTGGAGTGAGGAAATAGCAGCCATAACTTCGCAATGGTACTCGCTAATGAAATAAGAGTCATGAGTGCTCTTCTTGCAAATCGAGTCATCCATAATGTACTATTTCTCTGATATTGTGTCATAGTTAGATAGCTGTATACGCAGTTGAAATTTGATTAAGAGTGCCAGGTACAAAATTGATTAATAATCAGACACAACCTAGGCCCAAATATATGCTCGATAAAGCCTTATCGTCCGCTGACTGCGCTAATCAGAAAAAACCGGCGTTCTCGCCATGAATACACAAATTTCGGATTTGATCGTAACTCGTCTACATCTTATTGTCAATTTTAGTCTCATTTCACAACAACAGACTATCACAATGGTCCCAAAAGTATGTCTACAAAGATAACCAGACATATCCTGCTGCAGAATCTAAGCCCATCAAGGAATATTTATGGTCTATGGCGACGCACTCAGATCTGGGAACTATCCCTCGCACCCTTTCAAGAAAAAAAGCGTTATTCATCACGGAATTTATTCACTCCCACTCAAGATGTGAAGAGTATGTGTGGAAGAAATCATGTTCAACTTAGAAACTCGCAGCTTGATACTCGACATGAGATGTGCATGTCATCCTGTGTAGATTCATTACTTCACTCAAAAACTTTAGCAGAAGAGCCCATTCATAATATCAAAAAAAAGATATCAAGAAAAACGATTTTAAATAGCAGAAAGACTTACAGAGGATATGAAAGAAGGAGCAAAAGCTCAGCATCAAACCATGGAAACAGGCCAAAACCTCAGTGTGGGCACTCCTGTAATAGAATCCCACCTAATCCAAAGGTTCAGACTATTATCCTACGTGCCACCCAAATTAGTCAGATTCACAATACTCGAATTTCAAAAATGGCTCATCGTCCTTCAAAAGAAGAGCTTCTCTCGGCCGCCACAGGATTCTGGTCCCGTCTAAAGATTCGGTTCAAATGGTTTTCCATAAGAAGTGTTGGGCCCTGGAACGTCGATGATTGGAGTGCGTTCGTTTCATGGTTTGTTCTGGGGAATATAGTCTGGATTCTAGTCGGAACAACTACTTTCTTTTCCCTAGTTATTCTCTCAATCAACACCGTAGTTGCGCAAGGCATGTCCAAAGTACCAAATTTTCGCGACATAGTCACTGACAGCTTTCTAGAAACTCTAGCGAGGTGGATTGGGGATTACCTAACACATTCTTCAGGAATAAAAGTTGTTTTTGAGTCTGCCGTTGTACCAAAGTGGAAAGATGGAGTGATTACATTTCATAATGTATTTGTATCTCGAAGGCCAGGGCTTGGTAAAACTAAAGTAATCAAAGGATCTTCTGTGTCGGCAGCTGTTGCTGCAGCTGAGAGACACGCTGACTCTACAGGCCGAAAGGAAGAAGAGGAGGATATAAACTATACGCAGTTTGACTTGACCGTTGCGACAATTAACGTTACGCTTTCATTCATTAAATGGTGGAATGGAAAAGGACTATTGCGAGACGTGGAAATAAAGGGGGTTCGAGGCATCGTTGACCGAACCTCTGTAAATTGGGGAGATGATTACGTTGACCCACGAACCTATCTTCATGAGCATAACCCTGGCGATTTTGAGATTGATTCATTTAAGATGGAAGATCTTTTAATTACTGTATATCAGTCAAGTGGGTTCCGGCCATTTTCTATCAGTATATTTTCGTGTGATCTATCAAAACTACGAAAGCAATGGCTCTTTTATGACTTTCTCTCAGCTAATCACATGTCCGGAGCATTCGATGGATCTTTATTCAATATTCACCCACGCCAAATTCACGGTCTCGTAGGAAGCTATCATGAAGAACAGAAAGAGTACGAAAGCAATTTGTGGAAAAAGCAGAGTCGCCTACGGATTGATGGCTTAAAAATCGATCACCTCAACCGAGGAGTGGCAGGACCTTTTGGTTGGATTCACGAAGGCAACGTTGACATCGTGGCAGATATCTTATTTCCGGCCGACGTTGATGAAAGTATTGCGAAAGTTGTATCAGATCTTTACGATCGAATGGAGGCAACGGTAGCAGCGCATCGCTACCTTCAAGTTCCTGAAGGAAGCTCACATGCCGTAGATGTGCATTCCTCTGAAGAACCAGATATTTACTCTGAGAGACTTAAGGCTGAGGAGAAACGACGTTTTACAGTAATGGAATTAAAGGTTCATCTTAACGATGTGAAAGCTGCTGTACCACTTTTTACTCGAGATCTTTCTTACATAAACCAAGCTCTCATTCGTCCGATTGTCGCATATATCAACAATAAGAGAACATTCATACCAATATATTGCCGAATTGTGAAGTATGTCAGTGAGTTTGATGGTAGCTGGACGATTTATGATAGCGGCTTGATGGAAGACCTATCAGCTGAGACATATGAAGCTTTTGCAAAAGATGTTGTTGATAGCCAAGCACGAATGCGACGGTTGAAAAAAGTGGGATTTTGGTCTATTTCTCTTGCCATACAGGCTCTCTTTATGGGCTTGGCTGGGAATGTTGCGTAATTGTGAATGACTAGCGTGAATATTGGAACATGTATCAAAAATTGGCGCCCGAATAGAAAGTCTATAATGATCTGGCGTTACTGGAAGTGTTAATGGGGCTTAAGGTTATACGCAGCCCAAAATGGAAACAGCTTTCGATTCTTTAATGAGAAATTGATGACTCTTCTACATTGGTCTGAGGCCCAAGACTAATGGAGCATATCGATTAGATAGCATCGGAAAGCCTGTTGTGCTACGTCCAATTATGGTAGTTATTCTCGTTGAACGAATCAATCCATAATTGAGGCAGCTAACCTTGGTAGAAGAGATAAGATTTTGTGTCAGAGGTGAAACCGCATTTGAATCTCTAGCCAATACTATCAACGGTGTATCGATATGTGATCGAGCTTTATCGAGGTAGCAAGATCGAGTCGAAAAAGTTCTCATGACATCTGAAGGCCCTGGCCGTTGGCAAGATACTTGATCTTACTGAAAACCCTTATTTGAGACAGTAAATCTTTATCTTAACCAAAAGGCAGCCTATACGGCTGCCTTTTGTTCGATAAAAAGAAAGAGGGCTCCATTGTTGGATCATAGCTATTAGACGAAGCCTAGGCTTGAGAGTAATTCTCTCTCCGAGTGTTAGATTCCACTCTAGTTCTATCGGAATTTCCCCAGTTTAGCTTTATAAAACCTAGTCCCAGTTATGGGCTAGCGCTAATGTAATTATTCGGTTTCTAAAAAGTTACAGCGAATATCTGACCCAACTCTGACAAGTCGTCAGAAGCGCTGCGTCTAAGGTTTCCTAGTCTTAGATTCATTTATTCACTTATTCAAATTTAACATTTCATTCGGTATTTAGCTTATCGAATCACGAAGGTAGTAAGCCACTTTGGTTAGGGAAAAAGCTCTCCACAAAATATAACCCGATGTCCAGCTACTCTGATACGAACCAGCTCGATGCCGAGGATGTTTCTTTCAACCTTTATTTTACAAACTCTCCGTTAATTTTACCATCTCCTACTTTCACGAGACTAAAGTTCAATGGAAATAAAGAGAAGAGGTACCTCCTTGCTCGGTGCTGGTCGTTAAATTGTTCGAAAAGACGGCCCCGATGGCCGTAATTCTGTCGGTGCAGATTTTAACGCTACTGGGGCCACGAACTGCTTTCCTGAATATCCTGGTCCCCTTTTAGTCCCTCAGCCTTCTTACTGGCGATTAAAGTAAATCTTAAATGAATCATGACGACTGTTCACTTGGTTGCCACAGCTGGCTTCCTATTTCAAATATTTGCCGTGCTCGATAGAAACTCTATACGAGCTTTTTCCACACTTCCATTGCAGACCTGGTAGGTACGACAAGCGGATTTCTATCAGGAATGGTGTTCTTTGCCACAGTTCCTAGATGAGCCGCTCTCCCCCGAACAGTCCTAATTTTGGTGAGCAGCAGCGCAATTACTCAACCGTGCTATTTCCCCCTACGACGTCTACGTGTGTCTTCATTGGCTCCAGTCGAAGTCCTGCATTAGTTAGGTCCGGGGTGACTACATCTGCTCGGAGTAGAGCATAGCATTAACAACGAGGCTAAGTTGGACCATTTATATTTGCATTACCTCATATGGAAGATTAACCATGAATGATCCTCTATTACGGCTATTTGTCATGGAACGGTAGTGTTTCTATCCATTATGTAACTACTTTTTTATTTTTATTATAAGACCAGGAATCCGAAACCTAATCACAATCAATCTTGATAATGCCATGGTTGTTGAGATCTCTGCTGCCTTCGAGTTTGTCTGCAACACAACACTTAAAACCCCTATAGGAAAATCCCGGCGTAAAACTTTTGAGGCGGCTGGCTATCTCATCTATAAAGCTGCGTCTCTGGCATTCAGACTGAACGAACAACTCCATGTCACTACTTGACATTTCGCAAAATTGTTATAACTAGATAATGGGCAGATATGGAATGGTGTGTAAGCTATGGATAGCAGGGAATGGGTAGAAAGTGATAATCGGACACTGGGTATATAAATAACTTAATTGAAGACTAAGCTTACACCATAATGGTGGGTAAGACTGATATATATACATGTTTCAAACACACAATCCAGCTCATCATCATATTACCAGAAGATCATATTCTGTGCCATGTTGTACTAGCAATACTAAGCTCTTAGCGATGATCGTAATAACAGTTGTGCTGAGGCCATTTAATTCCTGCATCATATATTATTATTTGAAAAGTAGGGAAAAGCTGGGTGGAATGCCTGAAGTCTACTAAAAGAAAGAAAAGCCAGGTCAAGAAGGCTAGTATAATTGGATGGAGAGCTATGCTCCCATGAGGCACCTAACGACCCAGTTAAGTTGTGGAAGCTGACCAAGTGGGCCAAGAAAAGTCTGGAGGAGCGGTCACGACTTGCGCAATTTCCAGACCGCAAAGATAGAGATGGAAACATCTACCAAAAACACCTACAAATCAGACATATTGGCCGAACACTTCTTTCCCCAGCCTATCCGAGCCAATCTAGAAGATATAGAAGGGACAAGAAATCCGTAAGAACTAATCACAATCTCAAGCAACATCACACAAAGCGAGATCTAGGATACCATGGCAAATCTAACAAGAGAGAAAGCTCCGGGCCCAGATGGTACTCCAAACTAGATGCTTAAAAACTGTCAAACAACCCTAGGCAAGGTCCTCGGAGGAGGATGAAGGTTGAACACCTGTCAGTGATGCCCTCTACGAACCTTGGAGTGAAATATTCTCCCAGAGTCGAGATTCAGTCACGAAAAAGGGTGGCATGAATTTTATTTGATGGATTTTTGGCATGAAGGAGTTTTACTCGATATTTTGGTCGAAAAACCAGTCGGCAGAGACTTCACAACCGCAAGAAAGTCGAATAGAAACTCATCGCCACCAACATACGATTCAAGAATGGACTTAGGTCTGTCTGGGGGTCGTATTCAAACATCCGACATCTCTCAAACTCCTTTTATATTTGCGACGGAGCATTTCTCAGTCGATCCTATTCCTGCGACCCACCTCCATACTCGTCACATCACCTACCTGTACATGCCCCAATGAAGAAAGTCATGATGGAAACAGGACGTGTGCAAAGGAGGAAGAAAAGGGAAGATACACCGAGGGGATCACACAAATCCCCAATGACGACAACAACCCGACGGTACGATATGAAGGTGCAAGGCTAGAGCAACGATGAAATCTTGGACGGCATTTATATTTCGGGGTCAATGAGGATGTCAAGGGCTCGGGCGTGTGGTGGCCAAAGCTGAAGAGGAAATTGCGCTACGGCGTGTATACAGCGGGTTTCTGGACGGTTAGGCTTGGTATGATTCAACACATAGGTGAAGTCTGAGGTGGTCCGGTCATTTAAGTGGGACGAGGTGTATCTGTACTTCACGGTAGTTAACCTGATCCAGCCCGGCCCCACTCGTGCTTAAGCTCCAGTAGGAGTACAACGGTAGTCACTTAACCTAGCACGTTAATTAACAGCCAATCGCACAATTCAAAAATTCCCTTTTCCCATTTTCCAGCCCTCTCAATCTCGTCGCATCCATATCTGAATTGTGATCGAGCTCAGGCATTTTCACCATGCCTCCAGTTCGTAAAAAGTGTCCAAACGTCTTGTTGGACAACACGAGAGTCCGCCCGAGGGCTCTCTAAAAACTACCTGTCCTTGCCCAGTCTTCGAAATGCGCGGAGATTGGTCGGTCCGTTTCGAAAGGCAAAGAAGAAGCCCTCCCCGCCGTCACTGAGCCCGATACTGACATGATCGGGTCAGTTGAAGTTGTTGAGAAAATCTCTCAACCATCCTCCGTCACCCGCGGGATTGGAGAATCATCTAAACCTCCCCTGACCGCATCAAAATTGTCGGAGAACGCTGCATCAAAAGCTGCTCCAACCAAAGATTCGCAGCCTCAAGCTGCCACAAAAGTAGAATGTCCTTTGGAACTACAACCAATTGTCGAAGCCAGACAACGACGCGCCGCCGAAATAGCGGCGAATCTGGCACTCTGTTCCGCCACTATCTCTGGCGTCGAAGCAACCCTCCTCCCTTTGACCAACGGGTCAAACAGATAATTCGTAGACTCCATGAGAGTCCACCTACGCGCCTCCATCGCGCAATACATGGTCTCGGGCCCGGCCTCCACGCCACCCGTCCTTCCACCTCGCTCGGCACACCCGACCCCAAGGACTCTCGACGTCAGGGGCCAATTAATAACCGCCTTCCTAGTGCTGCCAGCCAAAAGCCCCTGGGCCACAATGGCCAAGAACGGACTGCAACTGATTGGGGTATACCTGTAGAACTGGCGTAATCACGTGTAATTCTAGCGTCAACGATGAAATTATATAGATACAGCATCGCCATCTCCTTAGATAGAAAGAATAGACGTCATTCACATGTACCGACATTTGACCCCCTTTGATTGGATCCAATCGTTACCTGTGATACCAACAGCAACAAAAAGCAGTCCCTACTTTTAAGGTTGTACCGCGACCTGTGGCCAAAGCCCAGCATTAAGAAATTCCCAAGGCGAAAGTTGACAAGCGACTGTTCCTTCGCTTTGAAAAGGACCGCCCGTGGCGAAAACTGTCCACAAATAGCGTGAGAAGTAATGTGGAGACTAGATTCCACTACTCTCACGATGAAACAACCTCGCTTTATCGAGTGAATACCAGCTTTGCTATGCTAGAAAAGAACGAAAACATACGACAAGAGACGTTAGATGCCTCGTCAGAGCTGGCGAGTGTTAACGCCAAACTCGAAGCATCTTCGAATCTTGTCGCCTTACAGATACCGAACGTAACTGTAAGTATAGTTACAGGGCGGTTAATGCTGAGTGGGTCTCCGACGCGATCGCCGTAACGACCGGCGTGTTTCCAATCCACGTCCGACCTCATGGGACTTTTCGACCTGTAGCACCTTATCGAAACTGACATGCCCTTTTTCACTGGGCTTCCGCCTCTTCGACGATTCTGATATGGCCACCATCCAC